CTCACTCACCCTCTCTCACCCTCTCTCACCCTCACTCACCCTCTCTCACCCTCTCTCACCCTCACTCACCCTCTCTCTCACCCTCACTTAGCCTCTCTCACCCTTACTCACCCTCTCTCTCACCCTCACTCACCCTCTCTCACCCTCTCACTCTTCCCTCGTCTCACTCTCCCTCTTCCCTCTTCTCACTCTCACTCATCCCTCACTCCTCTCCTCTCTTCTCTCACTCTCACTCTTCCCTCTCTCCTCTCCTCTCTTCCCCCTCTCTCCTCTCCTCTCTTCCCCCTCTCTCCTCTCCTCTCTTCTCTCTTCCCTCTCTCTCCTCTCTCTCTCTCCCTCTCTCTCGTCCATTATTGTAACTTCACTCTTATGCGCTCACATTTTCTTGAGCCACGGAATACATACCCCATTCTTTCACTAACATTAGTTGATTTAGGAATAAATGTTACCGACGAGCCACATTGACAAAATCGAATTACCGGGAATGCTCGCTCCCATAAATGTAATAGACAATTTTTAAATAAAAATGAGCTTCAGATTTTGCACAATAGTCCTACCGTCGAAATAACCAACTCCAGCTGCCCTCCCCCCTTCGCTGCTCTCTTCTCGCCCGCTGGTGAGCGAGGCGGTCGCGTGCCACGTGGACCCGTAAATTGCGTTAGGGCAGCGCCCAAATCGAGTTTGCGAAATGCGTTTTGCTCCGGCCCTGCATAATCCGCGCGAACGTAGGGTCACGCGTGCGCCCCTCGGCGCTTCGCGGCTTCCGGGAAGGAGAGGAGCTCGGAGAAGAGGATGGGTGGCTTGGTTCGCTCGTGGAATTTTCTATCATCCTCCAGCAAAAGAGAAGAACACAGAGGGAAGGTGGAGATGGGAAAGGGAGTGGGGGCGTGTATGAGAGGGAGGGAGGGTAGAGAGAGAGAGAGTTAAAGAACTAGTGTCATTGATAGCAAGGATCATTCTGGATGGTGCCATCTCTTCACTTCTCTAAAGATAGGATGTTGCATCCAGATAATCATCAGATAAGGTCAACAGTTTTGTTAAACATTGTTTATATGAATACCTGTAAGAAATATTACATATTGAATCTTTGAATTGAATGGATAAAAATCCGAGTTGTGACAAATTAAGGGAATACCATTTGTTTTTCTAATAATATCCTAATTTATGTTCCAGGAGTTGAAAGGTGGTCGGTCGTTCCAGAAGCTGGGCTTCACAGATCTGAATCTGGCCGAATTCGCTGGTGCAGGCAGGACGACTCGTCGATGTCTCCTGGAAGGCTACGACACCCGACATCGCCAAGATAATTCGATGTTGCGACTCGCCATAGGGATGAATATGCTGTCAGGAGACATCCTGTTTAAAGTGTAAGTATTTCCAATGTTCTAACAGCATGTAGTTATAGAATTGATACAAAACTAGTGGCTTGCAGCAGCGAAAATTCTGCTGAGCAAAACCACACAAACTGGTTTTCCAAAAAGTAGCACAGTGCTGAAGAATAACAAATGAAATACTCTCAAATAACACTGCAATAAATTAATTTTTTTAACAAAAACAGACTTTAGACTAAATGATAATTTTTCTGGATATATCACGAGCGGACTCGGCAATGCTTCGCTATTGCGGTGTATCACACACCACGTGATTGTTAATCACGTTTTACTCTATGCTATGGGAAAATTCGAATACATTGATGAAATACTTTCTTGCAAGTATGGATTTGTTCTATGTTCTTGGTTGCACATGGTTGTAGAGTATCCAATTGTTAAATCGCTCTCCCTCAAATTTAAGCATGCTACGACATCATGGAGAAATTTAATTTACTTTTCCGAATTTCAAGTAATAATTTCGACTGATATTTCACACTTGCAGGGTAGAATACTTGTATGCGGTGAATACACGCTTAATCCTTTACTAATTTCAGCGAAATTAGCTAGAGTAGCTTTCGCGTCTGTGTGCGGCACATTTTCGCACAATCCCTTATATGTATGTATGTATGTA